CTCCTACGGGCTAGGATTACAGTCGCAACCTACAGTCAGTTTCCACCTTGGCCTGGCTGATACTCACGGCTTCATAAAGACTGTGTGTATCTACTAACTGAGCTGCACCGCAGTCCCTTAAGCCAATTGCAATCCTTTTCATTTCCTAAGAGTGAAAACTACCTGCTATGTTTGAACTCTTTCTCCCTCTTAGCTAACATTTCTGAAACATTGACAGTAAGTATTTGGGGGACGTATACAGGAAAAGTGCATACCATATCAAGATGTAGATGAAAAGTCACTTTAATTTCTTTTGTCTTTAATAAAATCAGTGTGAAGATTCATGATTCTTCTGTATAATATTGAATATATTATACATAGAATTTATGTAATACCTTAATACTATAGATGTGCAAACCTTGAAGTGCGCCTCATGCAGGAAGGTATAATTTGCCTAATTTGGTATCAGACTCACAGAGTTACGGGTAAAATTTGACAACTTTTGAACAGATTGTCTATAATTTCATCAATTCTTTGTCAAGTTATTCTGTATTAAAGTGATAAAGTTTTAGTGCTTTAAATTAGAGTTTGTAAAACCCTGAGTGAGAAATTTGAACTTAAAAAACAAGCATATTTCTGTAGCAGGATTCCCCAGGGATTGTGTTTTCTGCCTGAGAAAAATGTGGGTTCAAAGTTGCTCTGCAGCAACTATATCATCAGTCCTGGACAAACAGCAGCTGCTGCCCTTACAAAGGACCTGGTTCCCAGCACCCTGCTGGACAGCATGAAGCTATTTGTGACTGCAGTTCGAGGGAATCTGATCCCCTATTCTGACCTTTTTAGGCGCCTGCACACCTGTAGTTCACACATGTGCACACATGTGCACACAAAATAATAAAGTATACATACAAATAAAAGTGAGTATTTTACAGTATCTATTACCTGTGTATAATTTGCTTATACACACATCAGGTACTGTTTATTATCTCTGCATATCTCACTACGTAATTTCTCTTTCTGACCATAGCAGCTGTCTGTTTCTGACACTGATATTCTAGATTGAGATTTCCATGGGCTCTTTGGGTTTGAAGGATAAGTCTGGAGCAAAGGTCTCAGGGTACTCTAGGTAGGTGGGAATCCCAGTGGCATTGCCCTGGGTGGATTTTTACCTCTTTCTGAAAAGACAAGTAGACACGTAAAATTATGCAGGCAAAGAATTACCTGGGAGACAGGGTTGGGGAGATCTCTGTAGGAACTTGTCTTTGTCAAAGACTAGACAAATGCAGGTTCTGACTAGGATTTGGACTGGTTGGAAATTCTACATTAAAATAACTTGGAGTCTTCAGTCATGCTCTTAAGAGCTTAGGAACTGCTTATGTCATGTTTAATCTAGCAAAGCTGTTTAGAGTGACCATCTGAAGTTTGTCATTTGCTTCTCTAGACTGCTTTACGGAACCAACACATGGAAGAGGTGCTAGTTTTTCCCCACGACAAAGTTTCATACTGAACATTTTGGGGAACTTTGACTTAATATTGGACAGTAGTCATGTTAAAGACTGTTAAATCTGTTCAGATTTCTGAAATCTGTGAGCATTCCCATTTGGATATTTTTGATGTCTTCTGAATATCAATTATGGTTTCTGTCCAGAGACACTCCATTGCATTTAAGACTGTAGACTGAAGATTTGTATTAGGGCATTTTGGAATGTAACATGAGCAATTTTTAAAGGTTTATCTTTTAAATTATGTGGCGTGTGCATGCCTGCATGTGTGTGTGTGTTTATAGGAATGTAGGTGCCTGTGAAGGACCAGCCAGGGCTTTGGATCCTGAGCCCTGCGTGGGTGATGGGAATTACCCATATGGGTCCTCTGCGAGAACAGTACGTTCTCTAAACCTCTGAACTGTCTCTCCACACACACCCCAATTTTTATTTTTATGTATTTGTGTGTGTGTGCATCTGTGTGCTAAATGTGTATGTGGGCGCTCATGGAAGCCAGAGGAGAGCAAGAGATTCCCAGAAAACTGAAGGTAGAGCCATCCCAGTGTGGAACTTGAGTTCCTCAGACAAGCCGAAAGCACTCTTAACTGCTTAGCTTCCTCGCCAGCCTCTTCAATATTTATTTTAAGTATAATTTTGATCTGTTTCATATTAACTATAACACAGGATTTTTATCACTCATTTTTGCCTTATCTTGTCATTGTATGCATTTAACACATTCTTAAGAAGAACCCCTGCTTCTGTGAGTAAAGGTCCTGGTTCTTTTCATTTGTGTGGCTTGGTCTTCTTTATCGAGTCTGCTACAGGTTTCAGCTCAGTTACTTTTACTGTCTTCTGTGTTCAGGGTTGCCCAGCATGTGCCTCTAAGTGATCCAGAGCGTCCTGCCAGCTTCGCTAATGAGTCTGCACTTGCCCTCCTACATTGTCTCTGTTCCTGCTTTTCCCAGCACACCTGCCTCTCTCATTGCATCCATCTTTGCCTGCTAGACCCACGCTTAGCTTTCCGTACCGTTCTCGCCACCTCTTTCACCTCCTTTTCTCCAGAAGTTGCCCCTTGGCTTTTTTTTTTTTTTTTACTTATTTTGATTCCTCTCTAGTCTTTACTTTTCTGCACTTAGTATTCCCAAGGCTCCCTTTCTGCCTGTGTCTGAGGTAGTTGTGTGCTTGGCCATATGTGTGATTCCCTGGAAGAGAATTGCTGTGTCTTATTCTGGGGTCTCTTTCAGCAAATAACAGGGCATCTTGCGTGGATAGTTATTGGCTCTGTGATAGATGAAAAGAAGTAATGTCTTGTTGTTGTAATATTTTTTTCTAACCCAACAACACTGTGTCTCTTGTTCATTTGTGACTACAGATTAATTCTCCTGTAATGAAATTATAATTTACATGTTTATTGTATGATTGTCATAGAGCAACTGTCTGAATAAAACATTAGATCTTAAAAATAGTTTAAAAAAGTTTAATAGAGTGGTAGTTTTCTTGAGTACCAAGAATAACTAAATGGAGTATGTGAAATTAATCTCACAGTACAGAACATGACTAGAATTTAACTAACAAATGACACATGGAGTAAATAGCCAAATTTTAATAAAATGTGTTAAAATTTTTTAATTTTACAAACAGTTCTGGATAAGGATACTGAATATGCAGTTCTTTCATTTGTACCTTGATTCATTACATAATTTAATTATATTTCTTTAAATGACAAGCTGATCTTTAAGAATAAGTAGGGAGAATAGATGTGGTAATTCTTAACAGTAATAAATAGGGCTTGAAGGGAGTGTAAGATTTATACTAAAACCATAAACAAATAGAGAACCTATTGATTATCCATTGTATAATGCTAGCGAAACTAGCTACTGGGAAAGGAACAAATCCATGCCATTACCTTTTATCTGAATAAATTCCAGAATTACATTGTGGAATTTATTTTATTAAAAAGGAAAATTAATCAAGAAAAAAATTTAAAAAATTAAGGAAAGAAGCAAAAAAGACCTCATGAAAGTAAAAGCAATAGAGTTCTCTTACAGTGCTATTTGATTATATATTTTTGTGTTTTTGTAAGATGAACATGAACCAGGCACTGTGGTGTCAAGGAAGCCAAGCATTTGAGTCTTACCTGGACAACATAGTGAGTCCATGTTTCAAACTTTAGAGTCTGGGGACAATATCATAAGGAAATGGATGGTAGCTATAACAGATCAATCTTTACATATCATCACAATGTAAAGAGCACTTGTGAATAAGAAAAAAATAACATTGAGAACAAAGGGCAGTGATGAACAAATAAAATCATAAATGAAAATTTAAAATTGTCAAAAACCAGTGTCTTTATAAATGAACAGTACAGATGTTATCGTGGGGAGATGTAATTTTTACCTGATCAAGCTACAAAGGATTGAAATTTACCATTTAAAGTTAATAAACATGATGGACACATGCCATTACTGGCAGTATGCAAATCACTGTGATTGAACTGGAATGTAGTGCAAAGCTTTGCTCTTTCAGGAGTTGCTTTCCTAGTGGTCTATCCTGAAATTACTGAGATGTGTATTTCTCACCGTGCAGCACTTCACTTCAGAACTTCGTGGTGTTGTCTGTGGCCGAGAAGTCTGTACAGCTGGCAGCATGTGATTTGCTCCCTCAGAGTTGCACAGTTAGGGGTGGGCCAGGCCTCTGGCCATCTTGATGCTTGATTGGCAGAGAGCCCCCCCCCCCTTCAGGCTCACTCTGTGACTGTTGGCAGGCTCTAGGCCTTTGCTGGCTGCTGACTGCTGACATCAGTTCCTAGCCACACAGGACTCTAAAGAGCTCCTTTTACAGTATAGCAGCTGGCCTGCTCCATCCTTCACTTCATAGTCCAATCTTAGAAGTGGCTTCTGTTTTGGTCTGCTCGCATCTGTTTGCTGAGAAGTGAGCAGGATGCAGCACATATTTGAAGACAAGATTTCTCTGGTCCTTGGGATTATGCTGACTTTCACATGTTAATACACAAATGTGTTCACTGTGGCTTTATGGATTCTTTATAATAACAGCAAGAAAGCAAAGAATATCACATAGACACCAAATAATACACAATGCTGATATTTCTGCATTGAGAGTGATGGAGACAGCAAATCCTTGGGTTTTCAACCCTGCAGTATACACTTCCAGTGTTCTTAGGCTTCAGAGCATAATAACCCCATTGCAACTGTAGAGTCTTGATGCTTATTAAATATGATGAGAGCGACTCAGAAAAGTTCTCACTTAGTGATCCATATGTGGATTTTACTTATAGGTAAGAAAAATTGGTTGCTGAATGTTCTCTTTTAATAGTGGCAGAGGAGAATAACTTTTTGTTTGAAGTTTAATTTCATTCTAAGTCTATAGTTTGCATGTATTCCTTGATAATTGTTCATAAGTTCGGGTGCTTCATCCTTGCTTCACTCTCTACCCTGAAGAGAAAGCAATAGCAAGATTTATAGAGACATGTTTGTGCCTTTGTAATTGATAACAAATCATTACCTTTAATTTACTTTCTAGATTACTGATCTCTCCTTACCCAACTATCTGATGGCATCTTCAGTTGGACTGCTTCCGACTCAGCTTCTGAATTCTTACTTGGGTACCACCCTGCGGACTATGGAAGATGTCATTGCAGAACAAAGTGTTAGTGGATATTTTGTCTTTTGTTTACAGGTGAGTGCAAGGCCAAGAGTTAAGTGTCTGGCTAGTTGAAGAATTGTTTCATTTTAGATAGCTGTTCCAATACTATTTTATATTTAGAAAACAGTTTCAGTTATGTAGACAGCTGGAAATACATGGATTCAGTCAGATGCATTGAATACCCTACTCGAAATGAGTAAATAGAATCATAAAAATAAGAGTCTTTCATAGGGATTGTTTTTAAAATCATTGCAAGTCAAATACTGTATCATGATTTTGTATGAAAGTTTTGCCTTCAGAAATTTTTAATATTTGACACTCAAGAAATTGCTCTTTTATCTATGTTTAGAATTTTTGTTTTGCCTGCTTTATTTATGTGGATAAGCAGGATAAATTTTATATGTATTGCATCTATAGTATATTATGCATAATTTACAGTCTTTGTCCATTTCAAAGTACAATGAAGATTCTGATATGTAGCGCAGCCTTAAGTTTATTTAAAAGGTAAATTATGTATCATTTTTTTCTTCCTTAGAAATTAGAAATCTGTCTGAAATTCTTTTTAGAAATTATATTTGAGTAAAGTTTTTCAATAGCTCACAGGATTTGCACTATTGAAACTTTGTATTTTTATGCCATCTTTGTAAATTACTCAGCTGTAATCAGTAGTGCCTCCTAAAGCTATAGGGTCATCTCTTTTCCAGTAGTTCATTAACCCCTTTGGGTGAGCTGGCATATTTAAACTTAATATGTAGTACAGAAAGGGAAAGGTTCACAATTCTTAGCTGAGACATTTATAGAGAAAATGGAAGCAATGCTTTGGTTTGGTATGTTGATGGTAGTTACAGCCCAAGTTGTTTCAGAAAGGATTTAGTGCAGCTGGATTGTGAAGTGGAGAAGAGAGGGAGAGTCCATAAGATGACACTGCAAAGGGGAAGACAAAGCTTAGGTATGGCAGATAGAGTGAGCACACTTAACAGATTCTTTCCGTTGCTAGAAATGAGCCACAGATCATTTTCTTTCTGGGTCCTGTAGTCTACAGCCTAAAGGAGAGCCTGCACACTGGAAAGTTGAAGCATTGTATGTTCTCGTACAGACATCAGTTTCTGCCCCTCCTCCGCATGCTCTGTATGTTTCTGTTCTTACTTTGCAGAACTCTAGACCCACAGAAGTCTTAGTTTGATCTGCTTTGTATGTGTTCTGGGGCAAAGTTAGCACTGAGTTGTGGGTAATGGGTGCAGTTCATGGGTGCAGGCTTTCCCATTTCCTAGCTCTCCCCTGTATCTCCACTTCTTCAGTGTCATCTTCCTCCCCTACTATTGGCTTGAAATAATACAAGCTGTCTTCATTTGTCCACACAGGCTGGAGTCCTCTCCTGACCTTCCTGTATCCCCAGTAGACTGCTTCTCTTCTTCTTTAGGTATCAGAAGCTTCCATGTGGGAAGCCCATCATTCTAAGAGATCTGTTCTCCTTAATCTTCTGCCTGTACTCTGGCCTGCTGTCCAGCAGTTGGTGGAAGAGAAGCTTGTATTTCTGTAGGAGGCTTGTTCCTCTTGCCTCCTTTCATTTTGAGAAATGTCAGAAGGGTTGCTTGTACTTCCTGTTTGCTTCTCTCCTTTTTTCTTTGTATTTCATGAGACTAAGAATGTCAGTACATGCTGGAGAAGGTCAGTGTGCAGTATGCGTCTCTTACCTCACACGTCTAGCTCAGTCCCTTCCCATTGTGTCTGTGTGTACAGGTGCCACAAACTCTGTGCCCTGAGCAGATGAGGCATCTTACACAGGATGTCACACGTGCACTTCTTTACATGGCATTAGAGTCGATTGAGGTATCGAACTTTTGAGTTTTCAGAAGGCGCATGACAGTTCTTGCAGGAGAAATAGAACAGTTAAAATACTTAGAAACACACTTTTCTAGTGCCCAGCTTAGCATTTTATTGAACGGTGGTTGCTCAGTTAATGGCAAATAGCTGTTAAAAATATGTCATCTCCTACCTTCCACTGTAAAGAAACCTCCTTGTGAAACATTTTAGGCCATGCAGTCACTGAAGTCCTCTGCTTTTATATGGTGTTGGTAACTGGTGTTACTTTTATTCACAGATTGTTATAAGCATAGGCCTCATGTTTTATGTAGTCCATCGTGCTCAAGTGGAACTGAACGCAGCTATCGTAGCTTGTGAGATGGAACTAAAAACTTCTCTGATAAAAGGCAATCAACCACATCCCAGCGGCTCTTCCTTCTACAGCAAGAGGACCCTCACGTTTTCTGGAGGTGGAATCAATATTGTATGATTCTTACAAACCGTGATTGTCGGGAGCCGAGTGCGCTGTCCAGGCCTAGCAGGCACTCTCCTAGTGGCAGAGACAAGTGCTGTTGTATTATGGCACAAAGAAACTGACTAGTTTTTAAATGGCACAATTTTCTAAAAGCAAGTATCATTTTCTGGGTCTGTAAATGTAAATGTAGCTGCAGCTTTGGCTGCCCCATGTTTTACCTGTAATGGCCTATAGGTGTGCACTTTAGTGTTTCTGAATTCTTTTATTATTGGGACTTATGAACAGAGAAATAACCCAAATATTGTTTTTCTTTCTGTTTAGTATCCTTATTTATACAGCCCACGAATAGTTGTGCGCCTCTGTCTTTAAAGATGAGTAAAAGTATGCAGTTCTAAAGGTGTCACCGTTGGATGTTCTTTGCTTAGGTAGTCTTTCAAGAAGGGTAAAATGTGTTTGTTTGTTTGTTTATTGTTCACTTGCTTGTTTTAAGCAACTTTGCTTCCTTTTCCTTGCCCATAAGAAAATTGGTAAATTTCAGTTGAGTGTATTATCAAGCATTATGTTATCGTGGGCCTTTTACCCCCTTCCATACAAGCTTAAATCCTACATTGTGGGACTGAAGTGCTCTTAAGATTCCTTTTTATTTTCACTGTGTAATTTGCAGAGTGAAAGGGAAATTATTTAGTAGGTGGCTCAGAAGCAGAGCCCACATTCTTACTTGATTTTGTTGCTTTCACCCTTTAGACCTCCTCAAAGGGCTGTCCGATAGCACTCTTACCAAACCATTTTACCTTTTTAATATTAATAATTAGGCTTTGAAATAAACATATTATTCCTATAAAATGGTGGGCTTTCTAGCTCAGAAGTTGTCATTCAGGTAGCCTTGTTTAGTCAAAACGCCTTGTTAAAAAGAAACAAGCTTTAAAATCATGTTTATAGTTCCAATAAAGTCTTATATATCTGTCCCCATAGTCTTCAGCTTTAAAACTATAAACATAATATTAACAAAACGGCCACGTTTGTGCTATCTGCTGTATTCTCGCTGTTTTGTTTGGGGCTTTGGTATTCCTTTTCCCTGATAAGACTCAGGAATTCTGAAATGTGAAATTGTCTCAGTTCTCTTTCTTGTAGCATGTGTGTTTACGCACAGCACTTAGAACTGTAGTATATAATAATTCAACATGATTCATACAGCGTGCGTTCATTTTTCAGCTTTATTTTTAAAATAGCTTAATTGCAAACTCAACGATTAGTTGATTTTGTTTGTTACAAATGAGATTGTAATGATATGGTGGTGTTTTCTATTAAGCACTTCATTTTTCTAGGCCTATTGCGGCCTACCAGAGCTCTCTCCTGGTGGGAAGACCTTTCCCTGATTTCTACTGACACACAGAGTGATCCTGTGCAAGCAGTTTTCTGGTCTTATCACTAGAGATCAATTTGATCGTGTTCATTTACAGGATTTTTGCCCAATTCAGGTTGTTTTTCTTCCCTTTCCAATGCAGTAGAAGACCAGAGTTACTGTGACCAAAGGCACCTGGTCTACAGCGCATGATTGGCCTCCAGATCTGTTATTGGTAGAAAAATGCTTATATATACTCTGCGTCCTCATTGCCTATTTAGTTTTGAATGTTACTTAGTGTAACCATCCCAATAAAGGAAATATTTGATTTATTTTAATTTTTTGGTATGACTTGGCAACATTTTTCTTGTGTTTCTCATTAGTTATTTTTTTTGTTAAAGGAATCTTTATTTAAGATCACTGTGTTCATGCTTGTTTTACAGCTCGTGTTTTGAAGTGCATTATATTTACTTAGCATTTGTGACTTGAACAACTTCACCAAATGAGTACCTTTTGGTAGTCTGTAATGAGTTCTTCCAGATGTTAACACCTTCCCTGGTAATTGTATTAAATATGTAAAGACAAAAGAAATAATTTTCTGTACTCTGCCAATCAAAATTTTATAAAATAAATCATCAACTTTTATAATAGTATGGATGGACAATTTTTAAAATATTAACCTAGCTATACTTTTCCTTTCCTTAGCATTTCCAGGGTACCAGTAAACAGCAGTCCATTATTGCCATGTAATTTGATAGGTGCGTCTGGTGGCTGGTGTCAGCTTATGTTTATGTTTGCTGTGACCTGTGCAGCACAGCCACGCCGTGCTCACTCTGCCTCTAGCCCTGCACCCTGAGTTGCGGCAGCAGCAGTTGCCAGGCAGGGCTCCCATATTGGGCACACGTTGCCTCCAGCCATATGTAATTATGAAATGCATATTCATAGAAATGAAATGTTACAGTTCCCTTCCACTGCTTAACTATAGCCTAAAATTGCTTTACATTCAGAGTCCACCTAATTTTCAAATCTGGTGAAAATTTTGTCCTGTTTTCCCTAAGATTATTACTTTGACAAATTTGAGTTACCTCTTTTTTAAAACCATGTTTATACTTTCTGTGCTTTTATGTCATTTCCATTTGATTATCTAATTCTGAACAATTGAAATCTGTACTCTTGGTGAAAAACCATATTTTCAAGTTTCTGTCATTACAATGTTTATTTTTAGTCGATATTCAGAAGTGACTGGATTTATTCCATCAGCCATCATCACCCTTGATGCATTGTGCCCAGCTGCTGATGTGCCACGGCGGCTTATACAGTGTTTACGAGTGTGACTGTCAGATGCCTTCCTCGCTGGGAAACTGTTGAGTTCAGTGTTGCTGTTTGCCCTCACTGTAAGCAAACTAAATGGTTGAGGTGCACCCGTGTCCCCAGAATCATATGTGTTGACCTGTGATGGTGATTTGGACTCTTCCTGGGGAAGTTGCTATGACTCAAATTTGTTGTTTGTGAGCTGCTAGGTGTTTGCCACATTGGTGCAAATAAATCCTTCCTGTGTGGCACATGCATGCCATTCACAGAAGAGGAGCATTTGAAGAGAAAAAGAATATTGTGAAGCCGGAGCACAGCTGTCACTCCAGCCTTGGTGCTGAGATTTTGTTTCCGCTGAAGGCTACTCCCAGGCCTGAGTGATATTCCATGTAATATGGTCTGGCTCCACAGATTAGATTTTCCTGATTTCTCTTATAATAAGGTATTTAGTATATATATATTTATAAAGGTCATTGCTTTAAGCTGAAAAGCCATTTAAATAAAGGGAGAGAATTACTCTCATAGGATATTTAAAACTCAGGAGTTTAAACAAATGCATGTATTGAAGAAACACTGTTGGCTTTGAACTGAGTTATAACCTGCTTCGTTCTAACCACTGCACAGTGGTTGCTGCACGCTGTTCTCAAGGGTGGCTGGGATTTCCAGTGGAGGATTCTAACAGCTAAGCAGTACAGTGTCTTGAAAGTTGGTAACCCAAATCACTCGTGTGCCTAAGAAAATAAAAGGAAATATTTTATCGTTCTTCTCTCTTCTCTTTCTTTCCTATGCTTGTGCAGCATGTCTGCGGGAGGGAGCGGTTCTGGGGAAGGGGAGGCTACTCCCTGCTCTCAGAGTGGCCACGCTAATGCTCAGTCTTATGATCTCATGCTGGGTGTTACGATTGGAGAAGAGATGCTGTGGGCTAGCCATCCTGATTTCTTATGTTGGCATTTGCTCTTCAGCTCCTGTATCATAAAATGCTGTCTGTTAGCTCAGCACAGTTACCAGTTGTTTTATATGTTTTTGTAGAGTCCAGAACTTTTCCCAATTTAATTTTCTGTTGAGTTGTACCTAGTTTCTCTGACAGTTGCCTTGAAAGCACACTGTAGCCACCATAAATGAATCTTCTTAGCATCCGGAATGATACTTGTTTCTTTTTACCTGATCAAATGCTCTTTTTCATCTTTTGTTGTAAAAAATGCCAGCTAGAGCACAAAATAAAGGGTCCATGTGGATTCCAAATGTGATGATGAAAGCTTATAATGTCACCACTCCTGGAGATTGAGGCAGGGGGATGTGAGTTTAAGAACAGCCTGGGTTACATGATATGACCTTGACCTCTCCCCTACCCCAATAAAGAAATCACAAGGGAATACTTATATATTTCAGAGGCTTAATTATGTATCAGGGTGGAGCATCAGTACCATGTCAGAGAGGCACACCGATGTTGCTAGATGCCTGTCGCCCAAGGCCATGTACCACCAGGCTTTGGCCTCTCTCCTTTTTGATACATCTTAGCACTCCTAAGCACAGGGAAATCTATATTAATAACGTATGTCCTTAACTGAGCTAAATACTGAGCATCGTAACATAACATGGTGTGCATTGTGGTGTTAACGTATGTGCACGTGATAAATCTATATTGAATCACCCTGGCAAGTTTGAGCAAAAGGATCCAGATTTAGTACTAACGAGCTAGTACTACTGCTTTAAGATGACTCAGAATTCCTCAAAGTGAGGTGGTCTATGGGAAACTTGAAAAGTCACAAAACATGCGGGAAAATTGAACAGAAAGAGTGTGCCACATAGGCATAAGAGCAAAAGTGAGTAATTTGAAATTCCTGTAGTAGGAATATAGAGTGGGACACTGTATTGTAAGTATATCTGACATGCATAAAGCTCATGGCTAACGTGCACACCAGTGTTCGAAGCACAGCCTGTTGCCTGTCTCTTGCACTCTTGTTCAGTTTACCTTGCCTAGGGAGGTAGGGTGCTAAGCAGTTTCCCACTTAATTTTTCAGTTCACTGCTTTGATTTCAAGTCAGTTGTCTGGCTTTGCAGTGTCATGATTCGGTTGTGAACACGCAGCTGTCCAGTTTCCTCTGGAGCCTGTGTTCCTGTGGGGTACTGGAGAACATCCATTCACTAGATGAGAAAGGGTGAGGCCTAGGAGCACTGACTCTCAGAACCATCCTTTTTCCTCCTCTGCCCTGGGCTGCTGGGTGCAGATGAGACTTTGGTTATTGGTGGGCATCTTGGCAGAAAAACCAGGGCAGGGATTTCTTTGGTACTTGCTTGGCTGGTGTCATTGGGTGGAAAGACAGAGAACCTGGGAACATTTTGGCTTTCAAATCTTTGATCTTCTGAAAGGAAATCTGAAGTTGTTCCTACAAAAAGTACCATCCTCTGTGACCCATCGAGTAGCAAAGTAGTTGATGGGCCTGAGTGTTTCCTGCTGTGTAAGGACGAGAGAATTCCAGAAAAATTCCAGCACCGGATGCAGGGAGGTTTCTTCTGAGGACCTCCCAGTCAGCCCATTCCTATTCCTCCCCTGGTGTGCCTGTTACCTTATCACATTGCTATGCTCCTGACACTTGCTGGAAAAGTGAGCACACAGCACGGTAGGGGAATAGTGCAGCCATGGCAGGAGATTTAGCAACCCTCAGGGAGGATGAAATAGCTGGTGCCCAGCGAGCTACAGAGAGTTCTGGAAAGTTACTTAGGAAAGCGGCAAGAAGCAGCAAGTGTAAGAGCAACGCAGCTTACACCAAAGTCCCATCGCTTTGCACCCATCTCTGTGATGGCAGCATCTGCATCTGCCTGCGTAGGCTGTGGACTTGAAGCTGGGGAAGAGAACTTCAGTATGGGTTCCTTAGCCGGTAGTGGGAAGGAGGGGCTGGTGTCCCGGGATGGAATGAAAAGAAAAGGGAAGAAGAGTCACACTTAAAGGAAGATGGTGTGGCAGAAATTACCCTTGACTTAGCATGTGCCTGTGATGGAAGAGCGCGCATTCTTCAGGGCCTTACTGAAGAATGCACCTTCTTAAGGTCAGCTGACCAATAAACCCCAGGCAAGCACCATTTCCTGAATGCAAGTTCTTGAGAAGTTGAGAAGGAACAAAATATTTTTGTTGTGTTTCACTGCCTGGGAGGTAATTGTCTGCCTCATGGGTTTGGGGGAAAGTTAACGAGGCTGTGTGGAGAGCGATACTGTCAGAACTAAGTACTTAGTAAGCTGTTACTACCCAGACCTACCTCTTGAGAGCTGAGAGATCCTTCCAGTGTGTGGATGTAGAAGACGAAGATGAGCACAGTTTATGAGCAAGAACAGGGAGCGTTAAAACTCCTCCATGGCTCCAGGAAGTATCAGAGACAATATCTAAAACAAAACCTGCATGGCTCGTTCAACATAAAAGATCAACATAAAACCCGCTGGCACAGAATGTGTGAGTAAGAGGACTGCGTAGAGAAGCAACTGACTTGGAGAGACAGTGGCGCTTATTATGTTATTTTTACATGTTGAGGATAGGAACCCTTAGCTGAAAAGACACAAAGGTGAAAGTTGCAGAGCAGAAGGAACATAATTTTCGTTGTTGTCGTTGTTTATTGTGACAGACGAGTTTCCAAGTCAGTACATCTTCCTTAGTTAACTGCTGCCTCCACTAGCGGCCCTTAATTGCTTAAGCTGGTGCGTCACGTGGACTGACTTGAATTGATTCTTGCTTTGGAGCTGTGCACACTCTTCACAGGTGCTGCTGAATTGATTGCATCCTTTGGATGACACTGTCTGCCTTTCCTATCGAGTCAGTGTTCTGTGAGTGAGGGAAAGAAAATGTCAATTCTCTGACTTTCCATTCAGCCAGTCACCTTTTTCAGAGGAAATTGGCTAGACATGTGCTTGGCCTGGGGTTACAAAGACAAGGGTGATTGTAGGTAAACTCCTTTATGAGGAAGGTGGAGAGTGAAAACAGCGGCAGTGTAGCCTGAGCCGGCCTCAGATACACAGAAGAGGGCCAAACAGAAATGAAAGCAGGACCAGCGATCACTGGGATTGCAGGGGATGGACCAGCATTACAAGGTAGACCTTAATTAGTGGTAGCTTAATTGAACCGAAGAATAAATGCAGATTGTTAAGGAAAGAGGAGAAAGATGAAAACTCAAAGCACAAGAAAGTATCGTAAATATTTAAGTACAGCAAGAACAGGAAGCAAAGCATTAAACCAACGCTGAAATAATACATAAGATGCTTGTGTTTTAAATTCACAAATGGATTCATATATAATACAAGAAGCATGGGTTTTGTATTTATGGATAAAAAAGTACTGCAGTAGTAGCAAGAATGT